CAGTATCGAGTGGGTCACAAACGATACACTGCAGCTACAGCGGCTTGCACACGAGGCTGTCGGAGCCGGACAGTGGCAGGGCGCGTGCGATGATTATCCGCGAACGCGAAAGGGAGATCTTCTGGCAGTAATCGATATATCCAACAAGGAACACCCTGTGCTCCGAGCTCCCGCAGCGGCCGAGATGGTGAAGGAAGCAGAGCAAGCCGAGGAATCTCAGGACGAGGAACAAGGTATGCAGGAGCAGAGAAGCGAAGGAAGCGTCGAAGAGTGGAGCGAGGGCCTCAATATGGCAGGTCCAAGAGGGGAAAGAAAGGCGGAGTGGCAGAGGAATGACTCAATCCACGAGTCTTTGATGAGTGTCGAGATTCCGCGCGTGTCTTTGGAGCTGTCACATCGCTTTGCCGCTGAAATCTGTTAGTGCCCTTATTAGAATTCGATAGATGTAGGAACCATGCAATCCCAGAAACGACGCGCATTGTCAGAGAGCACCACGTAATCTCGTGGTGTGGGCATGTTGATGAACGCAGGAGCAAAACGACGCGCGCAGCGATGATGCCAGCCAATGCAAGTGCAGAAGATGCCGTAACGCGTGCCTCGGCTATAGAACGTTATCGATAAGGCACCCTCGAGCCTGGTACCCTTCACCATCACAATGCAGCCTTTCGTAATTACCACACATACCCCCCAATACATAGAACATTCAGATGCCGACCACGCGAGGCCAAAAGCGCGACGTAGAAATGGAGGCAGCCCTGAAGCTTTTCTTCTCAAGTCCGCGCTTCGCTGTCGCCGGCGCGTCTTCCGACCCACACAAATACGGACACAAGAGTACGCTAAGATATCCTCTTCCAACCTCGCCTCGTTCCCGTCATGTCTAATGCGATATCACAGTATTCGCTTGGTATCTCCAGCACTCCCTCCCCGCAACACCTTTGAACCCGCGGAGCTCGAGCGTCACCATCTTGAACCGTGCTCACACCACCGTGCCCTCGCCGACAGCTCTTCAGGACCCACCAGCATCCAGCTATTCTCTGTCAGTGATTACGCCACCTACAGTGACGAAGCAGTTGCTCAAAGAGGCCAAGGAGGCTGGAATTCCTGCTGTATGGCTTCAGCCTGGAAGTTTCGATGCCGAAGTTCTAGAGTACGCGAAAGCTAACTTCAAAGCGGCGATTGGCGGCAATGGTGGTAGAGGAGGAGAAGGGTGGTGCGTACTTGTTGACGGAGAGGAAGGGATGAGGTTAGCCGGAAGAGAAGCGTCGAGACTCTAGTACCGCGAAGGTCGACCGAGTAGTATGTGTTACTCCCTACTCTGGCTATCGGAGGAGTTTCGATGATGTTTACGACTAATCGAAATATACTACACTTCATGTTAGGAAAAATATTATGTATTTGGATAAGTCAAGTTTGCCATCCCACGTCTACATTCATTGTCCTTTAGCCTTTCTTCCACGAGCTCTCCGTCTTAAGCCAAGTCTTGAACCCCTTCATCTCCGGATTCATCCTCTTGCACTCCTCGATATCCGCGCCGAATCCCTTCTCCCGAAACCAATCAAACATGTACCCAAGCTCTTTTGACATCCAGCACAGCGCCCCCGCGACGGACCGGTACGTCATCGGAAGCTTTTCACCCGTGCTCTTTCCAAAAGTCTCCTTGAATTGTTCGAATGAAAGTGCGTCCCCTGCTAGCGACATACTCTTGTTTTGGTATACCGGAGTGTCATGCTTGAGGAACGCTTGAGCGGCGAAGAACCCAATGTCACTAGTACTGATAAGTTGTAGAGGTTTCTCCTTTGGCAGCTTGATCGCCCAACTCGTTGTAAACACCTTGCCGAAGAAATCTGGAGTCAGATTCTCGTAAAATGCTACGGGTCGTAGTACGGTATATGTCATGTTGCTTTCCTTGGATTCGGAGAAGAGGTGTTGCTCGATGTTATGTTTCGTGATGAAGTGGGGGACGGTTGTCGGATCCGAGTCTGATTTTGCGCCGCCTCGATCCGCAGAAGAGAAGACGAAGTGCGATACACCGTTCTTGATAGACGCATCTACAAGGTCCTTCCCTTGCTTCTCCTCATTCTTTCCGAGTGCCTGTACGAGGATTCAGCAAAGCTCGACTATCGTTGCAGGAAACATGCTCACCTGAACACTAAAGACTCCCCAAATGGGCATCTTGGTGGACTTTCTCGCTGCCTTGAACATCTCGTCGGCTGCATCGAGATTTCCAGTGACGAGTTTGATCCTCGACGACTTCTTTTCGAGCTTCTTGGAGGATGACGACTGGGCGTCCCGGGTGACTGCTAGGATTTCGTATGGTGCGTCCGATTTGAGCAGGGCATCAACGACTGAACCACCTTGTTTACCAGTCGCACCTGTGATGAGGACTGCTCTGAGAGCCATTGAGGGCTAATCGGATATTATATAGTATAATCAGGAGAAAAGGAAGAAGGTTGCGACTTCGTTCGATTGAGATTCAAGTAGTTCTTGCATCTTTTATAGACAATCGTTCTGCCATGTCTGTTGGCATATGCGAAATCCAGCTCTGCTGAGCATTGCTCGTACACATGGTGTTGCGCACCGCGACCGTGCGAGCCGGCGGGTTGTTCGCCCGCTTCTGGCAGCAGCTGCGACGAACGCCGCTGATTGGTGTTCGGCCTTCCGAACAGCGAACGCGAGGCGGCTTACGGGATCGATCTGCCCAACTTCTATCCGGTCGCAGCTCCGTCGCATCGTTCAAGCAAAGGATGCATCAATAACTGAGTGACAGTTCTGTGACTGGCCGCACATTGAAGAGCGAAAAAGGGTATATATCTGCCAGAAAAATCGATCTTAACTTCCCGAAATGGCGTGCATCATATCAACAAGCCCAATAAATTTACATTTCCTTCGCGACAGCCTCCAGGGACTCCTTAAAGATATTACAAGCCTGGCTCAACTCCTCCTCGCTGATCGTAAGTGGCGGAATGAATCTCAGCACGTCGAACACCGAAGTGCTGAGGAGAAGCATGTCTCGCTTGACGCATTCCTGCACAATCTTGGGTGCAATTTGTGGCTGGCTCTGAGCATGTTGTGCAGCAGTATTCGATGAGTCGCGTTGCAGTTCTGGGTTTGCAAACTGGACACCGACCATGAGACCCGATCCGCGAACATCTTCGATCAAGTTACCGGCCTTGGTGCCAGAAGCTTTGAGATCGCGGAGGAACGAGAAGATCTGCTTGGAACGCGCGGCGACGTTGTCAAGAATCTTTTCCTCGTGGAATGCTTTGACTGTTGCTGTCGCGGCGGCGCATGCGACCGCATTACCCGCATATGTACCACCCATGGATCCTGGTTTTTGGAGGTCCATGAGCTTCTTACTGCTCGCAATACCGGATAGAGGGAACCCGTTCGCAATGCCCTTTGCGAAGATGAGGATGTCTGGTCGTACGCCAGACTCCTGCACGAACCACATGTGTCCCGTGCGGCCCATACCAGACTGGACCTCGTCAGCGATGAAAAGGACGTTGTGCTCGTCGCAAATCTGCCTGACGCCGTGAAGGAACTCGGGTGGTGCCGGGACGTAGCCTCCCTCGCCAAGAACGGGCTCCAGAATGACAGCTGCGGTATCTGCGGGAGACGTCTGCTGCTGTAGGGTGAGCTTCAATTGAAGCAGTGCCTGGTTCACGAGTTGCTCCTTCGGTGTGTCTGGAGACATGCCGAACTGGCTGTAGTATGGGAATGCGGACGCAAAGACGCCACCCATCAAAGGTCCATGGCCTTCGCCGTAAATAGTCTTGGATCGCGTCATCGAGGCTGTCGCGTTCGTGCGGCCGTGGTATGAGCCCTGCATGACGATGATGTTCGGCTTCTTCGTCGCGGCACGGGCAAGTTTGACGGCTGCTTCAACGGCCTCTGCACCCGAGTTCCAGAAGAAGACGGTATCGAGCGATTCGTGGGGAAGTATCGGAATCAGCTCTTTGAGAAGAGCGATCTGTGCGGAGCTGAAGCCAATGTTGACTTGGGCGTGTGTGATCTTGTTGCATTGTGCCGCTGCGGCAGCGCTGACTTTGGGGTGGCAGTGACCAAGGTTCACAACACCAATGCCGGCTGTCATGTCAAGCAGCTTGACGCCCTTGTCCGTGGTGATGAATGTGCCCTTTCCATCTTCAAATACATGCTTGGTGAGGCGGCCAATGCCCTTTGCAATGTGCTGTTCGCCAAATGCTGCTGTATCCATCTCGGAAGACGCTGGTCGTGTAGTAGAGAACGGTCGTCGAGGTGTTGGGACGTGTCGCGGAAGAGTGGGTACGAGGTTGCGTGGAGCTGACAAGCAGCGTCTGGATACCGTGGCGGCCTTCATTATGTATCGTGGGGATTGTGCTGCTGCTTTCGACTGCCGTGTAGGTCAAAGTGGTGGGGTTCGGGTTGAGGCGGCCTGACGTAGCTAGCACGCTTATCGCCGAAACTAGACGCCCTACACGCGTTCTTATGACCTTCACGATCATTTGCGACGGCCAACAACTCACTCACTTCGCTTCTACTAACTTCTTTAGGTAATACAAGAGACCGTCTGCCAAGACTTCTTACTCAACGACAAATTATCTACACGCCCCACACGCCTGAGATATTGTCTGGTAATCGGCCTGCAGTTGTTGTTTGAGCAGAACTTTCCTGTTGCTAGGATAGTACCCATGCCTCTCTCGAGCCAGCGGCAAATACACAACCACACATAGCAACTACGCCGAAGTGCACTATCTGGGCGGACTACATAGGTCTACGGTTCCCGTTCGAACGTAGAACGTACGATCAACACAACCTATGAGCTTGAAGGACACCGAGATCTCTCTGGTCTAGCCGGTGGTTCAGATATGAACCTTCTCCGCAGCCGTCACACGTCTATCCTGCACTTTTCCACGCCGGCTCTGATAAGTGTACAAAGTACATTATGAGTCTACCGCGTTCGCTATCACTACCTAAGACTCGCGCTCATTTCACTATGTTCTCATCATAAGCAAACAGTCTCAGACGTTGCTTCCCTCCTTACGATCCCAAGCCATAGGCCCCGGGTCTCGAGGACCTCCAGCAATGACCGAAGTTACTGTGAACTTCGTCTCCTTTATGATATTCTTTTGAGAGTCTCCATCACTATTATCGGCCTCGTCGTTGTCGCCCAAGGTCTGGAACGTGTCCATGGCTATCACGCGGGAGCGCGAGGTGGGCTGCCGATTGTTTATTCCAGATTGGTATGCTTGTCCGCCAGATGCAGCAGGAGTATTGGAGCCGGCGGATACCCTAATGCGCAGGGATAGGAGAGGGCGAAGAGGAGGTAGCGAACCGGCGATGAGGCCAATGCCGACTTCGGTCAAGGACCAGAAGCCGATTTTGCCCGTACTGTACATGAACTCGCCAGGGTCACTGTAGAGTGTGAGGTACTTGAGGCGGACGATGGTAGCACATGAGGCACTGAGTCAGGATTAGTTCTTGATACCATAGCATGAGGGATCGTCAAGGCCTTACAAAGAAGCGAGCGCAAGCATGACAGCAACTGAAGCTTTCACAGCTCCCTTCATCTGGACATTCCAAAGCAGAATAGCCGGCATGATCGAGAGACTAAAGTCCGCAGTGATCTCGATGGCCGAGTAGAACAGACTGACGTTGGTATTGAGTTGAAGGTTGCAGGTGCCATTAGATTCACCCCATAGCGTGTTGATCGGATGGCCGGCAAAACGTTAGCGACGACATTTCCTACTTGTAAAGCAAATCAACTCACAGATGTTTGCAATTCCTATGCAGAACACTAGAGCGGCAACCATGGTAGCACCGATCAGCGCCCATAAAGCCCACGTGAAGAAGCGACGACCAACAGCGATGCGCAGAAGCGCTACTGCAACACTGATCTTGACGAACATGGCGCTGACTGCGTAGAAGTACTCTGCGATGTAAAAGAGCTGAACACAGTGAGTATGGGCTAAAGTAGCATTTCGTTGATAGGGAGTATGTACCTTTGTTCCTTTGGATATCGTCACCGTGGGCAGCTCTCGTGCGAACTGTCCAGAGCCATAGTGACAACAGACGATGCAAAGAGCAGCTGTTACTGAAAAGAGAATCTGCCGCGAGCTATCAGTTGGCTTATCCCATGCTGGTGGTGCTGGGCACTTACAGTTCCGACGAGCATGAAGTAGTCATCCATGCCCCACGCTTTCCTCCACATCCGTACCCCGACTCTCATGGAGAAGACGATCCAACTCAACACGAGCAATATGATTGCGCAGTACAACAACGCCACTCCATCTCTGGCCACTTCGACAGTCGTCATGTTCCTTGCGCAATGTTGACAAACGTATCAGAGACCGAGAAATGAAGCAAGCAGATGACGAACATGAGACCGGTGGCAGCTCGCCGGATGACATATATTGGACGTTTCATCTCTACCACTGTACCACAGGAGAACCCCAATTTTCTGTCGACTCATGTCGTGGATCGTGAGCCGTGCAAACAGGGCCTCGTGTTACGTCCTAAGGTCGCGGGCGCTAGACGTAAAGGGCTTCGTCTAGATCGGATCTAATGTGTCAACTATCCGCGGAGGATGCCCTCGGGAATAGCTTAGTGTATGGGACTGCCGCGTGGTCCGAATTGTTTACGTTTTCTCCGACACCTTGCTTTGTGGAAGCGAGCATCAATGGAGCATGGTCCCACTATGGGCTGCGGCGTCGTAAAGAGGAGCTACCCGCATCAAAGAAGCCTTATGCGTACCAGACTTGCTATCCATCTAAATCGTCGGAGTACCCGTGAGGCGTTGGTGACCCCTAGTGACCGGTACATGGGTGGCAGGTGTCGTGATTTTCTTCCCCTGTCGGGCCGTTGCTAGCTTAAGTGGGTCTTACAGCTGGTCCGCCCATGGGCTCGGTTCCAACACTGGCCGGCGCCACGCTCAGACTGCCTGATTAGAAAATGTTCGTCCCAAGACGGCAGTAAAGTTGGGTGGTCACCTGGCTCAGGCGATTACCATCACGCCTCGGATCTTGACTGATAGATGCGTAGTCGCGCGAGTGTGTTTCGATGTTGATTGAGCAGCTTCAAGGTCGCGGTTGGCTTGCTACGAGCGGAATCCTTCCCTGCGATGAAAAAAACGGGCCCCGTACGAAGTCCATCCCGAGCTCGCTGTGTTCCTTGTAAATCTCCGGCAGCTTCTCAGATTTCGTTTGAGATGATGTTTCTGGGCCCAGAACACGGGTAGCCTCACAATGCCAGCCCATGACTGTTCCAAATCAGTGCGCTCTTGCATGAGCTCGAGCTGATGCGCAAGGGCCCCGATTATGTCTGCATATTATCCTCTTCCTTTCTGTATTTTGCTGAAACTTCCATCTGTTTACTCTCACCATACCTAGCTCCGCCATGGCATCGTTCCAAATCCAAGACTCTGACCTGACGGGATTTCAGGGCAAAGTTGCCGTCATAACAGGTACCTTGATTCGGCCCAATCAACTTTCAGGTTCCAGAACACTGACAATGCCGTAGGTGGGTCGTCTGGTATTGGCCTCGCCACAGCTGAGCTACTGCTCTCTCTAGGCGCACTAGTTGTGACTGGTGATATTCAGGCACCACCGGCGTCTGTGGCTGACTGTCACTTCGTCCAAATCGACGTCAGGCGCTGGAGCGATCTAACGAAACTATTCAAGGCCGCGAAAGAAAAGCACGGTCGTGTTGACTTTGTATTTGCGAATGCTGGAATTGGGCCACGCGCAAATTACTTGGCTCTCGAAGTCGATGAGAACGGTGACCCCAAGGAACCAAATGATGACACCTTGGACATCAATCTGGACAGTGTTGTCAGGACCGTGACACTCGCTACCCATTATCTGAAGGGCCAGGCCGAGGGGGGGTCCATTGTCATCATGGGGTCCAGCACCGGCTTGCATCCCGTCCGAGCAGTTGATTACTGTGAGTAACAGTTCGTCGATCACGTTAGAATCTCCGACTAACAGCACGACTCAGCGACGGCCAAAGCGGGTGTTCTAGGCTTTGGTAGGAGTTTCGCGCTGTTGGTGAAGGCTGCCGGTCTGCCTATTCGCGTCAACACTCTCGCCCCTTCATGGACGGCAACTCAGGTCTTGCCCGATTTGAAAGGCTTGCTAGATGCGGTTTCGTACAACTGCCAGCCTACTTCAGTCGTTGCCCGAGCAGCGGCCTACTTGATGGTAGACAGGTCTCGTCACGGAGACCTCATCTTTGCCTGCGACGGAAAATACACAGAGATCGAGAAGGCTGTGCTTGCGCCAGCATATGCAACTATCAAGGGAGACGGATTAAGCGACGATGATGTCCTGGCGAAGGTCTTGGCGCTGGGTAGCTAGACATCCGACTGAATCAACGAGCAAATTCTGAAGTATTGAAAACATATTTAACATGGATAATGTGAGTTGAACGATCGGAGAACCATAATCTGGAAGGGGGACGAACCCCTGCCAAGATTGTGACTGCTATACCCGGGTTGAATTGTCACTAATGATGTCATGCTGGCCAAAACCGAAATGACTTATTCCCGAGGTCTGCTGTGTTTCTACTTAGGCATCAACTACTATTTGACGTGACTGTAACGCGCTATCTGAGTCTAAACACACTGACTGTAGTAATCGCCATTGGCTTTGCACGTCGACCCACTCGCACAGACTGTACATCCACTATAGGTTTTCCCGCCACACTGCCCATACTTCGCTACTTCGCATATGGGCGCAGCCGGCACTGTGGGCGTGGCAGATGCGCTGGTCATCATGGTAGTGGGGGAGGCTGTGGCAGTGGGTGCAGCAGTGGGTGCAGCAGACGGCGCGGGCGCAGAACCGCTTCCATCCCAAACAGCAGGGCCAGGGACAGGATAAGTGGTTGCTTGCTTGGCTTCAGGGGAGTCAATGTTGAAAGCAATGCCAGGCTCTGTTCCAGTGTAGGCGCCCGGGAAAGAAACGAGCGCTGATGCGGGAGGAGAGGCTGTACCCGATCCTGTCACGGTGAATTGGGCGCACTCGGGATAGACTGGAGAGTATCAGCTTGAGCATCGGTATGGCAATGTGGAAAATTGGCTCACATTGCGGGTTGTTCGCCTGATGTACAGCGATGAGCTCATGACGGATCAAGTAGTCACCTGCTGCAAGTGTAGCCGGGATAGTGACTGTGGCATAGAGAGTGTCGAGGATGGCATCACCTGACCATATGCCGTCGTTTTCAGTCCCGGATATGAGGCCTTGCTCATATATCTTAACTACATCGCGGTCCTGTTAGAGATGTAGTCCACTTAAGGGATGTGTACTTACACCACACTTTACCAGCTCCATCGAAGCCGTCACAAGATCCCGGACATTTGGCCATGTATACAAGAAGAGAAGTCGGCCTGTGAGTCCATTGCTTCCAGTGTGTCTTCAATTTGGCACCAGCGGCAATGGTGCCAGTCATGCCTGTACCGAGAGCGCCGTTATTGTTGCAGCGGATGTTGACTGTCTAGAATAAGTGAGCTTTTGGTTGATGTACGCTTCTGTAGGGTCGTACTGAGAGATCTTTGATGTACATGGGGTCGTAAGTCGAGTACTGTCGCTGAATGGACTTTTGACCTGCAGCTGAGTTGTACGGTGACCATCTTGGAATTGTCAGTACATGGGAAGAGTGCGTGTGAGAAGGTGATGTACCCTTGGTAGGTCGTGTCTCCTACAATATACTGATCGACTCCTCCATGAGCGGTCGCAGTTGCAACCAAGGAAGCAACCGCCGTCAATGCCGTGTAGAACTTCATTATGATGTTGTAGAGCAAACTAGAGGGACCGATATTAGATAGCAAGTCGATGCGCAAAGATGGGCGGTGGTACAAGCAGAGAGTGCACCTTCTCATATACTTTCCGTTTGCCCCCGTAAGCCACACGAGCGCGTATCGCGTGAGAAACCCGGGTATTGTGTTGCTTCTACGACGCAAATCTCCACGTGTACTGTAGATTGATGTGTGATACTAGTCTATATGCTTGGTCCGTCACAGCCGCATGGCATCTCGACCTCTGGAGGAGTTTGTGCGACCGGGCTAGATATGGGGAATACTGCATAATCCGATCAATGGGCCAATGGTGCGAAGAAGCACGTTCGACTTTTGTGGTAGTCTCAACGGAGCAAACAGCCGTTGGGGGGATACATAGATGAAGTGCGCAGGGGTGTAAATAGCCGGAGGTCACATTTCGCGGGGAAATCGGTAGCCTGTACCCATGACTTGAATGCTTGGTATATGAGGTGTGGGTCATCTATAATTTAGGATGATCTTGATCACACATGGCCGCTGCTTGTTCGACCATAAGATATGAAGCTCAGAGCTTGAGTATCTCAGCGGGTTCGTTAGTGACAACGTCACAAGGGCTGTGAAAATTGGCGTTGAACAGCTTCTGCACGCGCAAAGTGTAGCAAAGACCTAAGTGTGAAGATGTTAGTATACGGTACTGATTTGAAGAGCTGCTAGCTGGAGAGAAGACCATACCTCGCTTATGCATGGGTGGTCAGAACACACCACGTTACGGTAGGGTCTGCTATATGTGGTCATTCAAATGAATCGTGAGATGTACGGAGCGCCCGGTCAATATAGACCCATCGAATACGCTGAGCCGAACGAAAACCTGGTCGAGGACCTTAGCCATACGTATAGCGTGTCAGCTCCAGGCTGGACCTGCTTGTTTGACGCAACAGGAACTGTGAACAGTGGGCATGATTTCGTAACAGCATGTATCGTCTTCTTCGCTGGTAGAAGCAGACGAAAGGCCAGATTGGAGTGAGGGAAGGATTGTGGTGCTAATCTGGTCGCCTGACAAGACGATAGAGTGTTCAATAGCGTGATGCATGGATGCCCACCGTCAGATAAGCATTCACATCTCGCGGGACGCTATACTGAACATAAAGTCAGGATGAATAGATGAAATCTGATCCGAGCGCCAGGTCCGGAAAGAATTGCTCAAGCACATGGCAAGCGCCTAGATGTATCGCAGCTGTTGCCCCGGGTGTGCTGAAGCTGGACTGTCAGTCGCTGTCCATGTATTAACAGAGTCGTGAACCACTGTGCGAGAAGGAATTGATAATAGAGAGAACACTTTTATGCAATACCTAGTTCCTTCACCCGTAATAGTGTGTTCCGAGCCACTCATATGTGCTCAATAGCCAAAATTGCAAGACAAAAACCAGAACGACAAAGGGCAC